CTCTCTGCACCAAGAAGATGCCCGGCGAGGACACAATGAGAAGGTGGCCGTTTACAGGCCAGGAAGAGCGTGCTCACCAGAAACCAACCCCAACAGCACCTTGATCTTGCACTCCTGGCCTCTAGAATCGTGAGGAAACAAATCTCTGTTCTTTAAGCTGCCCAGTCCGTGACGACGCCAGCAGACTAATACAGTATATAACGCATAAGCAATCAAAAACTGGACCAGTGAATTATATCTCAATTTTCTAAGAAACTTTACAAAACTGAGGAACACGGGCAAACACACTCTGCTCACGTGCACGACCCAAGGAGGTTTGGGGGAGACGCTCCAGGTGCGGGCCCTGGGGGGCATGGCGGGGAGTGTGAAGAGCTACTTCAGAGGAAAAGTAGAAACCCAGCGGCCCTGGCTGGCATAGCACAATAGATGGAGTGCGGGCTGCTAACCAAAGGGTCGCCGGTTTGATTCCCAGTCAGGGCATACTCCTGGGTTGTGGGCCAGGTCCCCAGTGGGGGCCACGGGAGAGGCAACCACACATTGATGTTTCCCTCTCTTTCTCCCTCCCTCCCCCCTCTAAAAATAAATAAATAACATCTTTAAAAAATAAATTAAAAATTACTAGTGATTGCTCGACTCTACTAGCTAATTCAGAAAGGAAGGAAGGGAGGGAGGGAGGAAGGGAGGGAGGGAGGAAGGGAGGGAGGGAGGGAGGAAAGAAAGAAAAAGAAAGAAAAGAAAAATAGAAATCCGGTGAGCCACCGGGTGTGGCGGCTCTGTCAGACCAAGGCGGCCAAGGGCCTGGGGCGGGGCTCGGGCAGGCCAGCTGGGGGCAAGCCAGCGGGCGTCAGGCCTGGGCAGTAGGACGTCAGCAGTGACGGCCTCGGAGAAAGGAGAGGGAGACTGAGGCCTGGGGAAGCCACGGCAGCTTCTTTAAAGGAGGTCGTCCGTGGACCCGCCCCGCCAAGAACTCGGGTGAGGACTCACTTACAGGGCTGGCTCTAACAGGGCGTGCAGGAAGACACCCCTGGGGGAACCGTGTTTGGGGCCACAGTCCTGGACCTGCGGCAGAAAAAATGCTCAATGGTCCCCGCGCTGTGATGGGTGGGGCGACTGGCTGATGGCTGCTCCCAGTGGCTGTGAGCAGGTCGACGGGAAGAGAGTTGAAAAGGTGTAAACAGAGCAAAAAGACAGGTTAGGAAACGAGCAAATAAGGCAAGGCAGCACCTGAAGTCGGCAGCACCTGAAGTCGGCAGCACGCCGGGAGAGGCAGCAGAAGTCGTCCCAGAGAGCACGCTGGTATCCGGTGGGCTTGGGGGAGGCCTGCCGCGGGCCGTGCGTCTCACGGGCGAGGGTGTCTGACCCCGTGGAGCCGCCCACGAGCAAAGACCCGGTGGTGACCGGGTGGTGACCAGGCGGTCTCTCGGCAGCACCTGCCACTGGACTCTCCAGGGCGACGAGGAGCGGCCGGTCGGCCAGGCAACTCGGCGTCTGCCGTCTGAAGGCGGGCAAATCGGCATCTGCTGCGAAGCCGCCCCCGTGGCCGTGTGCGGCCGCGCTCGCTCCGGAGCAACACACGCCTGCGCTCGTTTGAAGCGGATGTTCCTCCCTCGGCGTCACAGCACAGCGCCAGTGAACAGGCGTCTGTACTGCAGCTTCAGCGTCGGGGCCGGCTTTCTTTTCAAAGATATGTTCGCAATAAACTGAAGAACCATAATGCGCTTTTGTGGAAGGACGTACAGACAGCAGCATTGTTGAAGATATTCAACAGACTTAATACCAAAAAATAGCCACACAGATAAAGGAGGTCACTGATGGCCAGTGAGACAGTGCTTCACAGAGTGGTGGGGGCAGAGGCCGGGGGCAGGGGGCAGAACGAGAAGAAAGAACGGGTGGACCCGGCACAGGGGCTGCGGACGACGCCTGCGGAGGCCGTTTGGCTACAGCAAGGAGCCGGGTTAAGGACGGTTGTGCTGACCCTTCACGCTGAGCGTGCTCATCAAAGCTCCAGATGGGAAGCATGCGTGCACCCCACCTCTCCTCTCCAGGAGACAGGTCCATGCAGCACACCTGTAAATGGTCCAGATTTCTGGACGGGCCGTTCCTCTGTGTCCAAAGCCCCGCTGAGCCCAGACGAGGAAGCCGACGGTGAGAGCACCTGCTGCTGGTGAGCATATGCAGAAGCTGCAGGGCATGAGGCCTGGGCACGGAGCATTTCCGGGGACTCCGCACACTGGTGCTGGGGTCCAGCCCGCAGCCCCAGGGAGGCTGGCGCTCCGGTGGGGACTGGGCACAGAGGGCGGATGGCCTGCGGACTCCTGGGGCAGTGCACACAGCAGCCGCATCCCAGGATGGGCAACGGCTGTGTGTGTGCCTCACGCTTTCCCACAAGAGGACCACACCTCTGGGTGGACGCGGATGAGTCCAGGGGAATCGAAGGGCTTCCGCTGAGAATACTGGTGAGGAACACGGACTCCGCCACCACCTGAGTTAGAGGGCTCTCCTGCTCAGAGGCGCCTGCCCACCCCAGGACCCCCTCCACACTCTGGAGGACGCTGTGGGGTCCCTCTCTGCGTCTTCACACGGCATGGATGCTGCAGAGGTGCAGGAATGGGAGCTGCCATAGTCTGAATGGTCACGAATCCCCCAAACGCACATTGTGAAATCCTAACCCCCAAGGTGACCATACCAGGAGGTGGAGGTGACTGGGGCCCGAGGGCGGAGCCCCCGTGAATGGCCCTTGTGAAAGACGCCCCGCAGAGCTCGCCTGCCCCTTCTGCCACCTGAGGACGCAGCCAGAAGGTGCCTCCTATGCAGAAGTGGCTGTGCCAGACACCGAATCTGCCGGTGCCGTGACCTTGGACTTAGCCCCGAGAACTGTGAGAAATATCTTACTTATAAGCCACCCAGTTTACAGTATTTCTTTTAAAGATTTTTATTTTATTTTATTTTTAGAGAGGGCAAGAGAGGGAGAGAGGGAGAGAGAATCATTGTGTGGTTGCCTCTCACATAGCCCCCACCCTGGGGACTTGGCCTGCAACCCAGGCGTGTGCCCTGACTGGGAATCGAACCTGCGATGCTTTGGTTTGCAGGCCGCGCTCAATCCACTGAGCTACGCCAGCCAGGGCCCAGTACTTTTGTTCAGCAGCCCGAACGGATGAGGACAGCCTCAGGGAAGACTACCATGTAGCCAGAGCCTCGGAGGCCTCTGAAAGGCGGGCGAGGTTGGAAGCCTCTGGGGTCAAAACCGAGGTGGGGCTCCCTGGCCGAGTGACTTTACTTGATCAAGAATGACTGCAGAAACCCGTAGGACTTTGTGAAGTGTTAGTGTTACAATCAACTTCCTTCAGCTAATGTCCTTGAAATGAAAATTTTCCCGAAAATATCCATTCCCTACAAATCATTGTTGTGATTTGCATATCTCTGATCCTCAAGGGAAAGGCGCCTGGTTTCCTTGAACTTGGTCCCTGGTGAGATGAGCACTAAAGGTAACAACACCCAAGACAGCTCTGATCATGTGCCTGGCGCAGTCAGCAGTGCTTCAGGCACAGGAACTCAACGCACACACCCTGCAAAGTAGGCACTTTTATTACCTCCCTTTTATAGGGGAGGGAGATTAGAGAAGATAGGGCCCAAGGTAACACAGGCTGTGAGTGACAGAACCGGGATTTGAACCCAGGCAGGAGGCTCTAGGGTCTGTGCCCCTGACCACTGTGCTATATACTGCTTCGAGAATGAGGAAGACCCGGAAGACCCTGACCTAGAAGGGGGCCCAGGCTAGCAGGAGGCAGAGGAGAGTAAACATGCGATATGGATGTGATGCGGTGAGTGCAGGGAGAGGCGTGTGCAGGGACCATGGGCACGCGGGGGAGGCCTGCAGCCTGGTGCGGGGGGTCCTGGAAAGGCTGCCCAGAGGGGCTGAGACACGAGAGGGAGGGTAGAGAGCCATGCCAGGCAAAGAACGGCAGGAGCAAAGACACAGAGGGACCCCACAGATGACGGGTCCGAGGCAGAGGAGGAGGCATCCAGAGGGAGGCTGAGGCAGCGGTTGGGGAGGGCCACAGAGCCCCCAAAAGCTGGGCTGGGAGGCTGGATTTAACCCAGAGGGAGATGGGGAGCCATGGGGGTAGCATTCCCAGGGAAGCAACATGGGCAGACATGCCTCGCCTTCCCATCCCCCCCCCAGGACATGTTTATTGATTTGAGAGAGAGAGAGGAAGGGGGAGACAGAGAGAGAGGCAGAGAGAGAGAGAGAGAGAGAAACATCGATCAGTGCCTCCCCAAAACACCCTGACCGGGGATGCAACTCGCAGCCTAGGCACCTAGGCATGTGCCCTGACTGGGGATCAAACCCACAATGTTTTGATGAACAGGACAAGGGTCCAACCAGCCAACTGAGCAACTTGGCCAGGGCTTTGCTTTTTTTTTTTTTTTTTTGACATGCCTCTTTTCTGGAAGGCGGGAGAGCCTTACGCCGGCAGGGCAGGCGTAAGATGGATCAGGAGGTTAATGCAAAGGGTGAGAGATGAGCAAGAGAGAAAAAAATGGGTCAGAAAAAGAGCATTTATCACAGTAATTTCTTTTTCTCCACACACACACCAGGCCGTGACAGCCCCTGCCTTGCCTGGTAGCTGAATATATGCTCATTTTGACAACAGCAAAGGTGAGGGCGTGCTTTTTAATGTGTGAGGGCGGGAGCTTGGCCTTTGAAGCCGAACCGCGGATCATCTGATTTTCTTTTCCATCAGAATCTCCGCAGGGGGCTGTGCCCTGAAGGGGCAAACGAAAAGCTTCCGCATGACGGAGCTGGTGGCGGAAGGCTGCACGGCTCACCTCCCCACACCCAGCACGGGCCTGCTCCTGGGCATCTAAAGAAAATCTCAGAAGTCACACCCAGGCAGTTGCAGGGTGAGGCGTCCCTAAGGACCCTGCTCGCTTCAGGCCGGCCCGCTCTTTAAGAACTGGCGACGCCCTGCAGGCATCCGACAGAACGCACTACTGACCTCACGTTGGATCCGGATAGCTGGGGAGGCAAGGCTTCCGGTTCTGCTGGACTTAGAAGCTCCATCATCTTTGGCACCGTTCTGTCCTGGAAGAGAAAAACAAGTGGGCCTGTTACTACTACTCACAGAGGAATTACCAACTCACACCCCGTTAAACGAAAAGCTCACATTTCATGGACAGGACGAAATACAAATCAGAACAAACGACTGCGCTGATTCATGCAAAAGCTTCATTTTTGAGGTTAACTTAGTTATGTAGGTGATTAAGCTTCAGCTACGCAGGTGACTGACGGTTCGCGTTGGCTCTCGGGGGTCGGGGCAAGTGTCTGCGGAACAGTTACAAGGGGAGGTTGTGGAGAGAAAAGGTTTTAGGTGTGGGTTTAATTCAGGCTCTGCAGCTGCGATAAGGGACCTCTTTGGTGAATTTGTTCCAGGGAATGTAAGACGAAGGGTTCCGGAGTGCCTGTTTGCGATCACAGGATTTTGGAGATGGGTGGGTGGGATTCTTCTTTTCACAGATAAAGAGATGCCGTCAGGATAGAGCACCTCGATCCAGCGGCCAGTTGCTGGTGGAATCAGAAGTTTACCAGCCAGGGCTCTTTCTGAAATAACAGCCCTGAGGAAGACCTTTGATTCCCCAAACACTCTAAATATCATGTTGACTTTAAACTTATCCTATAATCTTTTTTAAAATGTGTAAGTAATTTTCATTTTTGCAAAGAAATTCTAATAATCAGCTCAAGTCTCAACTCATCCCCGAGACATGAGTCCCGCCAGGGTGTGACAAAAAGGACTCTCCCCGGCGACCTCCCCCTGTTTCAGCCTGTCCCTGAAGGGCGATCCATGTGTCCCTGGCTTCACAGCACTGTGGAAAGTCTTACAGTACTGGCCCGGGCTGAGGCCTTGGGCTAATGAAGTTCAAACCTCTCATTACACTGATAAAAACTGCAGTGCAGGCAGATGGTCCATTAAAGGGAGAGCCAGATCTCGGAAACCCGAAGAAACGTATGTCACCGAGCATCTGCTGGTGCCAGGCCCTGTGTTCTCCGCTCTGAATACATGATCTCACGCGGGCCTCACCGCCACTCGCAGGCCAGCATGGGCACGGAGACTTGGCTGAGTTCTTCCGCTCAGCTGACCTTTATCTGAGCATCTGCTACACGCAGGCAACAAGGTGGGTGCCCAGTATGCAAAGGAGAAATGGGTGCGCTTCGCTTCCCGCTCACAGTGAGGCTACAGTCTAGTGAGAGGTGGGGGAGGGGGCATCAGGCACATTAATTTGTGGTGTGTTGTTCAACCAGAAGCTTGTGACTCCTTAGAAGGTCATGAGATCAAGCCAGGGGGTCTTGATCACTGTGACAAATAAACGAATGAGCCAATAAAGTAGAACAGAACAGAGCAGAATGGAAAACCTCAGCTGCAGGCAGCAGAGGCAAGGAAACTCACAATATACGTCAATATACCTGTATCAATCATGTAAGTGTGCAGGTACTGGTCTGCAAAGTAAAATACATTTCCTTTTGTAGGTCATGGTGCAAAAGAGTGTGAAAGCTCTCGGTTACACAACAAAGTGGCAAGTGCTCTATTAGAAGTTGATACAAAATGATGAGAGCCAAGAGGAGCGAGTGTCTACCAATCAATCAGCACCTAGCTCCAGAGTGAAACAATTTCGGGTTCCCCAACAAGAGGTCTCTAGGATGAGATGCCTGCACCTAATGTTCACATCTAAAAAGAGCTTCTGAAGAACCGGTATGAAATTTCAGGGACTAGAGAAGGAAAGAGTAGGGTCCCTTCTCCTGCAGCCTGGGAAAGACAGTGCGCACCTGTGAAGCCACGAGAGGTGCGGTGACGCCACTCCTGTGTTTGCACAGTGAAGACAGGCTCAAGAAGAGGGGATTAAATCCCAGGAAGATGGAACTCAAACCTAGCCCTGGTCCCCAGCTGTGTGGGAGGTGCTGGTAGGTCTACGAAGAACAGAAAGGCTGGGTCTGCAGCAAACTCCCACCGTCCCACTGCTGAGAGTTCAGGGCGGCCTGCAGGGTCTGGAAAACAGGACCCAGGGAGCCAGGCCTGGGCCCTTTAAACGACCTTCATCTTGAGAGAGGCACCTCCTCTGGGATGGCAGACTGTGATCTCCTTAGCGGGATAAAATCAGGGTTACATTTTCTGCTCTTTTAATAATGACACTTCCTTCGGACATGTTCTGGAACACCACAGGTACAGGTCAGGTTTGTGGCAATCCACCAGACTGCCACGTGGAGATATTTTCTCAGGCTTCTGAGTCAAGATTCCAGTCGATGTCTTTGCTTTATAAACAGGCCTTATTCACTGTGCAGGGGAGGAAGGAGAGGAGCTAACGGCTCGCTCAGCACCACACGGCGGGGGAACCGGAACAGACACGCAGACCCTGTAACTGCAGGGCCTCTGCATTTTACCTTGTGGGTCTGGTTGTTGCTTTTTCTCACAGAGCCACCAGCGGCTTTCTACTCTTTGTCCAGCATGTAGATGATTATACATAATCTGATGGTTAACATATCCTGAGCACATACATCACGACATCTAGGGTATCACGGAATGAAAAGCTATCCCTGAACATCAGCAAAACAACTATCCTTTCTACTGCCAGTCTAGATTCAAAAGAAGATTTTAAAAAATGTCTTAGCCTTTGAAGTTATGTCTATCTTTAGGTTTTACCAAGTTTCAATTAAAATTAGGTGCTACCACTTTGTTCTCAGAAGCCTCAAAATTGTAGCCAGCAAGAAAAAGTAACTAAAATGAGTGTGTTGCCGGTAGAATTTAATTCACATACTTTAATTTCTACTTAAAGATTGTTCAATAGATAAATTATAGAAGGGTGGAGAAAGTAGCTACAGTTTTTAAAAGTATTCAAAGATACATTAAACATTTTTAAATGAGCAAGACTGAAGTTTTGAATCTAGGGACAGAGGGTTGGGTGGTAACGCACACTTCGGATCGGAGCGGGGCCCATGGAAGGGGTGGTAACAGAGCTCTCTCTCTCTCTCTCAGTTTGAATGGCATTCTCCTTACAGTCATTCATGAAGCTGTACACTTGATTTGTGTGGCTTTCTGTATCTCTGGAGGGCTTTTTTCCTTTTCAACTAAAGAGATTCTTTTTTGTTTAAGATTTTATTTATTTAGCTTTTAGAGAGGGGAAGGGAGGGAGAAAGAGAGGGAAACATCAATGTGTGGTCGCCTCTCGTGTGCCCCCTACTGGGGACCTGGCCCACAACCCAGACATGTGCCCTGACTGGGAATCAAACCAGCAACCCTTTGGGTTCGCAGGCCGGCACTCAGCCCACTGAGCCACACCAGCCAGGGCTAAACTAAACTAAAGAGATTCTCACGGGGAAAAAAAAATTCTTTCTTTGAAACAGAGAACTAACAGTACAGTCACCAATTGTTATTTCCAGGTCTAGCTGGACAAAAAGAACGAAAACCAAAGCCCATGTCCCCTTCACTTGCCGTCCAAGTGCTCTCTGCCGGGCTGCAGGCCCAGGGACGGGGTGGGGGTGGGGCGGTGCCGTTCCTGTCACTGAGTGGCCGCAGGTAGTCTCTGGCTCCGCCCGTCTAAGTGCGCGCTCAAGCGGTTTCCATGGCAAATCAGTCTATTGTACCAACAGATGGAGGCTTTACTAGCTTTGGGACTAAATTTTAAAATGTATGATCATCCGAAATGCACACGTTCTTCAGCGTTATTTCTGCTTTTAGCTGTTAATTGAGTTACGAGCAGCTCAGAATTCCCTCCCCGCACAGGAACGGTCAAGATGAACCCCAGGTGAATTCCACCAAACACACCAGGGCCAGCGGCTCCGTTTGCTGCAGACTCCCCGGGGCTGTGGGCTGTGCTCCCGCGGGCAGGCGCTGGCAGAGGCCTCTACCATACCTCCTGGCCTCGCTCCTTGGGCGGGGGTGGGGGGTGGGGTGGGAACAGACCTCAACGGGCACAGGCCGTGGTTACAGGAGTCCAGCTCTCCGGAGCCCAGCTTCGCTCCTTTCTCTGCAGCCGAGGAAAACCCGCGCCCCTTTCTGTTCATCGGCACAGAGGGCCGTGTAACAGAGGAGCACAAAGAGGGAAAGGCGAGCCACAGCCACGCGGGCCAGGAGGATGTCCAATCACAACAAACACACCCAAAGAGGGAGGGAGATGGCAATCCATACAGTTCCTTTCTGACATTCTTTAAAATAAATGCCCGGCCCTGGAGGAGGCAGCCGGACGCGCTGCCGCTGGCCGAAGAGGTGTGGAGCAGCTCGGAGCTCGGTGCCCGACCTGCCCCGCGCCCAGGCCCGACTCCAGACCACGGCGCAGCGACTGGGTCCCCAGGGCCCGAGTGGCTGCAGAAGGCCTCCAGAGCAGCTGTCTGCGCCGCTGGGAAACCAGCGAGGCTCCTCTCCCTTCCACGAGGCCCTGGCAGTTCGGCACGCAGGAAGATGCTCTTCCCTGTCTGTCGCATCCTGCAGAGCCCCTGCACCCTCCGCGCTGAGTCTGGGGCCACTGACGGATGCTGTGACGGATTCTGAAACCCCGGCCACGTCGGGCCGCAGCTGGGAGCAAGCCAAGCCTCCCTTCCGGGCTGTCACACGTTGAGGCTACTTCTCCCGAAGCATGTGGGCGAAATTCCCATACATTTCAAAGCATCGGTAGGATTGCTGTGAAATACAAGGGGCCGCATTTCCTCACCGGCTTCTGTGAGTCCATCTCCTCGAATGGCTAAATCCACGCACCATCCTGCATCACTCGCTTGGAACGAGACACGGAAACGCCGAGCACCACGGCAGGGGGCGCTTTACGCCCTGGGAAGCCTGAACACGGAACCGCCGTCAAAACGCCGGGCTCTCCCCCCAATCCCATCACTGTCAGAAGGGAGTGTGAGAGCACAGCCTCTCGAGTCCTTTGGAAGGAGGAAAACTCCCTTCTACAGTCCCTTCCCACACTGACCTGCGTGGATACGAGGGACCCACAGGGGTTTTATGGGGTGACACTGCTACTATTAGTGCCGACCCCTAGAATTGTACAGTGTACAACCTGCGACGTTGTAACATCAGAATATACTCTTTATTTGTGTAT